GATTGGCAGGAGTTTGCAATGATTGGGGATATAATGGTGCGAGCTATTACATCGGTAAATGGGGACATGGCAGAGATCAAGATAGATTGTATATTTTCCCTGCACTAAAAGCATATGCTCATCACTGGGTGCTGAATCCAGGTGACTCAAGATGGGAATGTGATGACGTTCAGGTTGGAGTGTCTTCTGGTGATTTCTGGAAGGTCTTTGTTCGTTAAGATCCTTGTCCACCGATTACTTATAGCTGGACAAGCGTATTTATCTTATCTTCGATACAAACAAAATTAACAAATTTAAGTTAAATAAACGACCTTAAGGACCTTTTAGACAGTTATCAGCTTTTATAGAACGTCTATAAACACTGGAAATAACACCATCGTTAGAAAATCGAAACTGAAAATCCGATCGAAAATCCAATAAACGATGTGTAGCTTAATAAAATAAAAAAAAAACAATTGTTTTATGGACCAATTAAATGTCCATCCCAGAGGGATTTGCTAAAAACTCTAAGTAAACCAACGTTAGCTGAGTAGCGAGCTCGCAACATCGCTGCCTCGATTTTTAGAACAATCAAGGGTCCTAGCTCCGCTTGCTTGGGTGACTTAATCAACTTGGGAATTCGTCTTACAACTTAGAGAGGCACGCACCGTTACTGTAGCTAACTATGCCTATGTCCATATCTATTATAAAATAAAAGGTTGTAAAATAAAATGCTTTATGATGTTTTATGATCTTTTTTTTGTCGATCTATTTGTTCTTATCATAACAGTTCATCTTCTCATGTAATTCTCCTGTCTGTCATGAATTAAATAGGCAAAATCCGTTATGGCGGTTGGTAACAGCGTTATATTGTCTAGTTTTACTTTCATTCCCTTTAGAACTAACTGTGATCATGATCAGTGGTTTGTCTCGTTTAGTTTATGTTTTCTATAAAATAACTTAAACAACAGGTAGCCCAAAATTAAAAATCAACGATATGTAAGACACACTGCGGTGACAAACATGACAAAACAACGCATGTCGTAAAAAAATATGGTTTTGTACTTGACGTTTCGTGTGCTACAACATCAGAGACCGCGTAGAGGGAGGGGCTAGGGCAGCCTTAGCCAACGCCCGCCTTCCTCCACCTCCACTTTCTCACAGTAAAAAATAAATAGGTATACAGCAACACATGATATAATACAGCAAATTGTTATGAATATTATGCAGCTAGTCTTGTATGTGCCTTGACGGGGAATTCCGTGGTCAGATATATATACGTGGATGAATTATTGAAAATCATCATCAGGAGCCCATCACCAATAGCGTACAACTCCCATAATAAGGTTATGTCGCGGCATTTTTACAGACCGGTCTAGTTTTACGCTTCATTTCCTGCAAAATAGCTCAGTTCCAGTCTGCATGAGCGCGCACCGGTAAGGTAAACAATAGATGTTTTTCTTCCTAATCTTCCGCCGAAATGATGACGCCAGTTAAAAATTAAGTCCCTGCTTGTGATTGGTCACTGACGCTTCTGCGGGGGGTCTGATTTCGTGTTAAATTCCAACTAAGAATAGCTGGTTTTCTCATGACGTCACTAAAATCCGAACTATAAAACTATTGATCTTCCTGAGATTTTACTTAAATGATGTAGAAGAGCAGCTGAAAACTTATATTCACACAAATTTTCGCTCCGAATGGGTTCTTGGTTTTGTGATACACTACGCTTGAATTTCTAAGCACGTTCCTAGTGATGGGCTCCTGTCACCTTTGATTTTTGTCTTCGGGCTTAATTTAAAACAGCGGCAGTGTTCCCACACACATAATTTCTCAGAATAATTGTTCAGAGGACAAGGATGTCAGCTCTTTGTGGTGAACGAGTAGTTTATGTCCTAAAGAAGATGTGAAACGATGTAAGTTTGAAATCATTCTATGACGCGATTTTACTATAGCCCTCCTGGCACTGAGAGGCAACGTTGCCTTAGGCGAACGCGTTCAACGAAGGAGAATTGAAATTGAGGAACCGTCCACCCTAATACATTCTAGAAATGATACGTTTTCGCAAACTGTTTAAACGCTTCATGTCCACACCGTTTCCGCAGCGTTTTTGCTATTCACCTGAAAACGTCCTGGGTTGTCGCTGTCGCCTTTAATAAGATACGGTTCCGTTTTAAACCGTCTCCTGATTGTGAACAGCGTTTTCAGATGTCAGAATTTTTTGCTGACAACGATAAACGTCTGGAGAAAACGCCCCAAATATACATTTCACGCTGATAACGTATTAGTGTGGACAGGTCCAGCCGACTCATTAACAATCCCAGATAGCTTTTCTGGCCTTGACAGCTCCATAGTTTACTTAAGTCTCTATTTTCTTGTGAAATGTCAGGCGGTAAAATTCGTCGGCAGCTGGCCCTTAGCGACATCCTTGCCAGGCCTGAGACTTCACAACAGACATATCCCACGAAAATACGAAACTATTACAGGCCAATATATTACTGACTACAGCGTTTTAACCACCAAATGTTTCCAGCTGCATTTGTTAGTTTCCTTCATGATTAATACACCGTCTACACCGTTTTTTAGCGTTAGGTAACTTTGAATCTCGCTGAAGGAATATCTTTGGGTCACTAGTTCATTACAAAGTTATTAGCAGGGGCTTTACAGTGGAGAAAACTTCATTGTGCAAAGTCAGATTTGATATTGAATTTAAGGCCGGCTGATAATTTTTTACACTTATGCAGTGACAAGAGTGCTTCTTTAGCGAAGAAAGTTTGTAATTGTGTAACGCTTCACTTCTTATTTTAAATGCATTTTCTGCGTTTCATGTTTTTGAGGGAACTCCTAGTTAGTTCATTTAGGGGGTTCGTGTTTAACGCGCCCATCCCCACCCTTACTCTTCTAAACTCAGAAAGTTCCTGTGCACAGGCCAATAACCATGTCTTAAGAGGCGACCGTTAAGATAAATTACAGCTAAATTTAAAATGTAAAGTGAGAGGCCGATATTGTAATGGAAAAAACTTGGCGTCAGCTGGTGATTGTGTCACTTACGTGAAAGCATTTTCTAGTTCCACGTAGGGGCCAAACCACCCCCCAACTGTTTCGTCAGTTCTTGGGTATTTCACATTATTTCGCATTACTTAAAAAGTATTGACTCTCTCTACACCAAACTTGGCAGATGACCAGGAGACCTATTGCCAATTATATTTACGTGAAAAATGTCAGTAAATGTCAAAGTTGTGACGTCACAGTGTTGACGTCATGTTTTTTGCCACTTTTGAAGTTTTTAATATGCATATTTTTTACAATGTGTTCGAAAGAGCACATCAAGAGAAGTTGAAACCTGAAAAAATTTTGTCCATATCACAAAAATTGAATGAAATATGGCATTTTTAAATATGAAAAATAACTCCGCAAAATATGGGGTCCCCCCTTGAGAAAAATCCCCAACTTGGAGCCGTAATTTTGTTCCTGCAAATGCAGCTGTGTTGCACATGTGATGTGCCAGATGACTAAAGCCAAAGTAAAGAAGAAAATCGGAATAAAAAATTATCCCTCTAGTGTTATTGCGTTAAAATTAGTTTTGTTACGTCATAACCTGTGACGTCACCCGTTTTTTTACTGTTAATACCATCCTATCAAAGCCGAAAATCAAATTTCCAAAACCATACGATTTTTGACAACATCAAGCTCTCTATTTTTCTAGATTATTAACCTTCCTAGAATAAAACTGAACAAAATAAACCAGAGAGACTGAATTAAGAAGGACAGTACGACTAAGCAAATTCCGGGGGGAACAACAAAAAAATATTTAATTTACCATATCTCAAAAAATAATCATCATAGCAAAAAACGGTTTCCGGCCTTTTACTCCTAAAGTCAAGGCCTTTCCAATGACATAATCTTTTTATCAGATTTTACAAAAAATTATACCACGTTCTGGTGACGTCATCAGTTATGACGTCATAATCTGACATTATGTCACAACTTCCAAATTAAAATAAACTGGAGAACAAAGAAAGCTCATCTGCCAAACTTGGTTCAGAAATATATAAACCAAGCAAATATAGCCTTCATGAAACATCAGGGGGGTGGTTTGGCCCCTACGTGTTCTTATAATGCTCCATTCCTAAGTTTTTTTTCAACAAAGCACAAAGAAATTGGTGAAAAAAAAAACTGTAAAGTTAATTTCAAACTCCGATATGTAGTTATGGAAGCTAGAAAACTAAATATCCATAAACAGTAAGTTCTTTTGTGAAAGAGGAAAGCACCTGCTTGGCAAACCAAACCACGACGAAAAAACGTCAATTAATGGCGAAAAACGTCAATGTTTTGAGACTCAAGTATTTTCGTTTATGTCTTTTCTTGTTAATTTTACGATGAGTGATTTCTCATTGCAGTACCAGCACACTTTCAAGCAAAGGAAGTTTATAACTGAAGATTGTTTTAATGTACTTTTAAATTCTTAGAAGTAATATTAGTTTATTTGGGTGGTGATACTGAAATGCTCTCATTAAGTAAACATAAGCGACAAGTTACATGATATCAATACAAACATGAAGATTAATGGAAGCCTGGAAGCATTTCAAACGTAACAAAATTAAATGTCCAATATCAATCACAAATGTACATGAATAGGCATAAAAGGG